CCAGGGTCGTGGGATCGAGCCCCACGTTGGGCTCTAAGCTGACAGCATGGAGCCTGCTTGGGATTCTCTCTCTCCCTCTTTCTGCCCCTCTCCTGCTCGTGCTCTCTCAAAATAAATAAACTTAAAAAAAAAAAAAACCCAAAAACACGATCCTATTTTTCCAACTAGGGACTGAGACCCGGGATTTTCAAAGGGGCAGGAGGAGGGAGTGGGCTGCAGCCACGTTTAAAAAACATGAGTTAGGGGCGCCTGGGTGGCGCAGTCGGTTAAGCGTCCGACTTCAGCCAGGTCACGATCTCGCGGTCCGGGAGTTCGAGCCCCGCGTCAGGCTCTGGGCTGATGGCTCAGAGCCCGGAGCCTGTTTCCGATTCTGTGTCTCCCTCTCTCTCTGCCCCTCCCCCGTTCATGCTCTGTCTCTCTCTGTCCCAAAAATAAACAAACGTTGAAAAAAAAATTAAAAAAAAAAAAAATAAAAAACATGAGTTAGAAGCGAGTGGAATGAAAAAGGGGTGGGGGGACCTGATCGCACCTCACAAGGGTAGTAAACCAAACCCGCTTCAGGTTGATGGTTTGTGTGGGTATCGTATTGTGATGTACGTAGGTGGAAAAGGTGTGCGGGCCAGGGCTGTGTGGCCATGGGGTTCACCAGACCAGGCAGGAGTGGCCTCCCCCCGCCTGGTCATCGAGCACAGGACCTTGTCTGGACACACACCATTTAGGCCCTGCCCGTTGCAGGGGGGGGGGGGGGTGTGTGTGGGGGGGGGCGTGTGTGGGGGGGGGGGCGCAAAATCCTGCTGTAGAGAAGATGAGGCCTAAGGAACACCAGAACAGGAGGTGGAGGGTGGAGGGAGCTCAAGCCGGGAGGCCTCCAGGAGGAGGGGTCAGTGTAAGAAGAGGCACTGGGTGGGGGGAGGGGGCTTCCTGGAGATGGTGGAGTCTGACCTCCTTGGTGGCTCAGATTCTGACACCAGGGCCTTTGGGGGAGAGCGGAGAGGTTCTGCAGATCACCAAAGAAGTTGCCAAGATGCACTGGGAGTGGTACAGGGTGTGAGGAGGTGTAAAAAAAAGAAAAAAAAAAAGTTTTAAAGCAGAACCCAAGGCCCAGCACAGATACAAAATCCAAACAGAGCTTGAAGAGCCTTAAATATCAGCCGACACGTTCAAGTTACAGTGGAGGGAACTGAGGCCCGTTTGTGCACCCTGCACAGGAACACAGGCTTTGGAGGCTTCTGGGTTCAGTGTTCTGAGTCAGTGGATGCTTTGGGTAGGAGGGTAGGTCGAGACCCCAGCGACGCTGCCCTAGCTCCCCTCTCCCCCAGCCCGTGAGGAACACCAACCCACCCCCGTCAGTCCCACCAACTATGGCAGCCGATCTTCACGATCTTCCCGATCTTTCCACCACACTGTAACCGCACCGAGTTTGTAAAAAAATGGCTAAAGCGGCTTTCTCTTCGTGGGCCGGGCCCGCTCCGGTCTGTGGTTTCCGCTGGCCCTGCCCCCGTCCGCTGGGCTCACCGCCTGCACGTCTTTTCGTTACGTTTGGATGGGCTCATTTTACACATTAAGAAACAGTTCCAGAGAGGTTCCGGGATTCGAGGTCGCTGAGTACGGAAGGCCCAGGGGCGGCCGCTGGACCCCTGACTGCTGGTCCAAGCTCCTTATCAGAAGCTTCCGGCAGTTGGGACGTGAGATGTCACAATCTTGCTTTGTACTTGGGATCGGGGCCGAAGGCCAGCCGGCACTTCACAGTGTGGGGCCGTCTCTGATGCTACGATTTCCCAAATGACAAACGGCCCTATCTGAAAGCTTTCCAACGTCTAATCAATCGCTCGGAAATTCGTAGGAAGGAATGGCCGGGACGTTTAAAAAATAATGTGAAAAAGCCCGCGTCATCTTCGTTGGCCTCTGCCTTCAGCCGATTCGATGCCACGGATCTGCACTCCGGAGGTGTCGAGCACCCCGCAGCCGCGGGGCTGATTGGCACCGTGAGATGCCGCCCTGCGCGTCTTTTTATGCTGCAGACGTATATAACATCAGCAGTCACATCTGATTTCCTCTCATCCACCTTGATTGAGGCAGAAGGAGGGATAAACAGCAAACGCCGTTGCGAATATCCATCCCAAATGGTAATTATTGCATCATTATATTTGCTGCTTTACTTGTCTGTTACCATTAGGAGGTAACAAGATCATTGTCAGTCAAAGGCTGTGGAGATAATTAGAGCATCTATAGGTTAGCAGGAAATCAAATTGGTGCTAGTACCCATCAATGCCGGGGAGCTGAACGTAATTAGAGGGGAAAGAAGCAAAGGTTGAGATGAATAAGGCCCCAGGGATTAAATACCATGACTGATTTGAGAGTCTGACTCCTCTACGTTCTGACACGGCAGATGGGACGTGCAGAGGTGCACGGAGAAGGGGACGCGGGAAGGTCTGCCGGGCACAGCGAATCAAGCCGCCGCCGAGACGCAGGGTCTGGAAGGTCCCGAGAACTGGCCCATTCGGAAAAACAGCGTTTGTCGTGTTTTCCGATCCTCTAGTTTTTCTTCGGGTTATTTTCTCTGGTCTGGGAGTCGGGATATGAACGCAGGAGCAGAGCCAACAGGAGCGGGTCTTTATTCGGGAAACCCCTTGCTCTGCCCGAGCCCAGCTCTCCCGCCAGGACGGTCTTCGGGTGCCCACCCCGCTTCCCAAACACCCTCCCTGGCCACTTGTGCGCGGATTCCCCAGACAGCAGCCGCCCACGTCCCGCTGACCCGGGCCGCTTTTGTCTTGTCCCCAGAAAGATAACACCAATCCAAACAATCTCATCCAAACAGCAATTTCATCAGGTCGACAGTTTTTTACATCTTGGAAAAACAAAACAGATTTCAGAGGACGAGGGGGAAGTCTGCAAACCGATGAGGGACAGGCCATGTAATTCAACGAGACACAGAGAGCGGAGACAGGGAAAAAAAAAAAAAAAATACCGGGAAGGTCTTAAGTAACATACAACTGACCGAATCCACAGATTGAAACGCAAAGGAACAAGCAAGCAATGACTGTTGTCAGAGGCCCGAAATCAGATCTGTCACCGATGCAGAGAAAGTGAATGCGGAGGGGCTCTGAGGCGGGCCCCAGACGCGAGGTGGCACGGCGGCCACCTCGGCCCGTGCGTACATCCCCCGCAAGATCCGAAAGTACCTTCCCGTGACTTAACGGCTCGTCGTTGCGACCATCCCAAAAAACGAAAGTAAAAAAAGAACGTAAGATCCACAACTGACGGTGTGGGGCGCAAACGTTTACAGAACCTAACCGGCCGGGTCACTAACTGCGTTAGGGAGGGCGATCGGCCGCCGTAGGTCAGCCTCGCGTCCTCACTCGGGCTGGGTTCAAGGTGTTTCTTTTCCAAGAGCCCGGTCTTGCACGTATGGCTTCTTCCCTAAGGTAACGATGGCCATTCTCACACAAACAAGCAGCTGGAAGCTTGGTTCACATTTTTTAATAACATGGCACAGTTTACATTACACAAGAAGGCTCCGCCGATGAGAACATGCTGAAAACTCAGTCGGTTTTCACGCGTCTTTTCACAGAGGGTCTAGAAAGGACTTTATTACATACAGGGTAAACAGCAAAAAGGTCTGTATAGAACAATCTCTTTACAATACCGAGAGCTACCACTATAGTTCCAGTGTATATATTCCTTGGGGTTTTTTTTTTTTTTCTTTTTAGTTGTTGTCTTTAAAAAAAAAAAAAAACACTACACAACATCTGGAGTTCACAAAATCTGAAGCTCACAACTAAACCTTCAGTTTACTACTAAAATAGATCTCTCTGCTTATTAGAAACAATGGTCTGTAGTTAACTTTTTTTTTCTTTTTTGCAAAAACAGGATAACAACATCAGATAGCACTTTAATATACTAGAAGGACCCAATGGAACTAATTTTATTTCATACATATATTTTACAGTCCAGTAGACAAGATATATTGTATTTCTCTGCTAGTAAAGTCATATTCTCTCCAAATATGTAGACAAGAGGCTTAATGTATTATAAAAGTATGAAGACACATTAAGGTTGGTGCAAAATTAAAAACACACGCACACACAGAACTTTGTCTCTGCCACTGCTCACCCTCTGTAACTCTCCATGGCTCCCCAAGGTCGACCTGCCGGCTATTTCCCAGACTTTATTACCAACTGGAACACAGCGAGTCACATTAGGAAACGTGCACCTTAAACCCATCAGTTATTGAAAACAGTGAAAACATATCCATCATCTGAGAAAACGTGAAGCTTTCTTTCAGGATGTGTTTGGATGTAATCGAATCTCATTACAAACCGAGGAGGCGTGTACAGACAGGAAACAGGACACACTAAAACACGCATGGTTCCCACATGAGGTGTGTGTGAAGTCACGTGACTGATGGTGGCGACCTGTGTCCCCTGATTTTGGCGTCTGACAGCTCCCATCCTCCCTGGCACTGGGTGTTTAGGCCCTCGGCTCTCTTTCCCGGGGGCTGTGCTCCACCCCACTCCCACCCCCCACCCCCCACCCCCACCCCCCCCCCCCAACGGCCTGCGAGCAGTTTAACTTCGCGAGCCAAGTTTCAGCCCGGGTCCGATTTGCAAAATAGGATGTTTCTCCGTTTGGAAAAAAAAACAAGGAAGGAAAACAGAGTCCTATCACGTAAGCGCTTGTTCAGGGAAAATATGACCTTAAGTATGTTGTAAATGGATCTGAAAAGGCTCCTTTGAGTTAGGAGGGCTTTTGTGAAAAGCCCTAACATTCATTGCATAGTTGAAGGGTTTAGCTGTCTATAACAATATATGGGAACGCAGCCGTAGCCGACTGCACTCGCTGATATTAAGTTTGCAAATAGCACATTTTAAGAAGTATTAATGTATTATGTTACTTACTCTTGATCTATTTACATTTATACAAAGTAAAGCTTTTATCTTACCCTTTGCATATATGAACCATTAGCTCACGAAGCAATGTGTTTTTGTGTTTCGTTTTTCGTTTTTTCTGTGTGTGTGTTTTTACATAGCTATGTACACGGCCTTCCTTTCTCATCTGAAGGAGCTTCGCACGATGGGCTGCGTGGACCGCTGTTTGTCTCTCCCCCAGTCACCACCGCGTCGCTGTGTGTCTGTCGTCTTCACTGTTTTGGTTCAAATCAAAAAGTCTTATGCAAGAAACCAAAAGAGTTAGAGACATGAGAACATAGGACTTGGCTGAAAGATCTGAAAAATTTCAACATATGATATACAAAAAAAAAAAAAAAACCATTTCAAAATCTGCACTGGAGCCTATACATTTTTTACAAGGGGAGGAGGCGGGGCGTGCGGCCCCCCCCCCCCCCCAGTCTGGTGGGCCCGCGCTGGCTCCCCGTCTCCGGTCTGGCGCCCTGTTGGTGCGCAAGGGCTTCTCTTTCCTCCCTCGCGTCCTGCCCTCCTTACCGAGCTTCGATATCCTTCAGGGTGTGGGAAGGAGGCCTCTCCCTCATCTCTGCAGACAGAGGGGTAGTCCTTCTGGGGGAGACCGGGCGGCCCCCCAGCGTGGAAATGAGCGGGGGGGGCGCGCTCAGCGCCGCCGTCGGGGGGGTCTTGTTGAGCAGTCCGTTCTGGTGCCCCGCGGTGGGGCTGATCCTGGGGTAGTGCATGCTGGGGAGCCCCGGGGTGAGGAGGCTGGGGTGCGGCAGGTGTCCGTCCAGGGAGGCGGGGTGCACGGGGTGGAGCCGTGTGTGTTCGTAGTCTTCTCTGAGCATGTGCAAGCGCTCCCGCTCTTCCAGGTGAGCCCCGCGCTCGTGCTCCCGCCGAGGGTCCACAGACAGAGGGTGGTGGTGGTGGTGGTGGTGGTGGTTGTAATCGTGAGGCTCCCTGTCCCTGAAGGAGCGATCGGCTTCGTAGAGCCGCGGCGTCGAGAGACGGTGCAGAGGGTCGTTCCTTAGCAGGAAGTCCCTGCCCAGCGGGTCTCTCCGGTGAATGTCAAGTTCTCGGTAGGGATCCCTCAGAGGGTCCCGTATGGGGTCCCAGTGGAAAGAAGGGTACGGGAACCGCTCTCCGCCCGGGATGGGGCTGATGCCCATGAACGGGGTCATCATGCGAGTCCTGTCCAGGCTGCTGATGCTGTTCATGGGGTGAATGCCCGTCACCCCCACCGTCATGGGCATCGAGGCCAGGGGCCCCGGGTGCACGCTGGACGAGGAGTTCGGAGGAGGTGGCTCCGAAGACCGGTGGGTCTGCGGGGCCTCCGGAGGCAGGTCGTGGTCTTCCTTGCGCTCCTCCTTCACCTTGACCTCCGAGCTCTTCTTGGGGTTCTCGTAGGCCGGCTCGCTCTTGCGCTGCTCGGCCTCGCGGCTCGAGGTGCTGTTGGGCCTGGCGCTCTCCACCACGGGGGTCCGCACGTAGGGTGACGGCACCCGGGCCAGCTGCTTGGCCTCTTCGCCCGTGGCTCGCCCCTCGTGGCCGTGGCCGTCCTTCTCCGGCAGGTGGCCCTCCTTCGCCTTGTGCTCGTCGGCGGTCAGGTCCTTGCGGGATTCCGAGTGGTCTCTCTCCCTCTCTTTGGATTTGTCTTTCTCGCGAGCCTCAGTGTTCAAATGACCCCTGATCTGTTCAGCGGAGCTACGGTTATGTCCCAGGGTGCTCACTGGGAGGATAGGTGCTGGTGAAGGGTGGCTGGAGTGTCTTTTCTCAACGCTTTCCCTGCGGAAGAAAAGAGGGACACAGAGAAGCAGATGAAATGGGCTTGCCGGCCTGGGGAGGGGCTGCCAATGAAATGGTGGTGGGAGAGAGGCTCGGGTCTGGCTCCCGTGGTCACTGAGGCAGCCGGATGTGCCCTTCGCGTGGCAAAACCAGCCACCCTGACCTTACTCACCTAGACTTTCACGGAAGCTTTCTGGGGACAAGGCACTGGCGCTGGGGCGGGTGGGGGTGGGGGGCAGGTGGGAGAGTCTGAGGGGGAAACAATTCTCTCTGCATGTGAGGTTCACGTGCCTCCATCAAGGCCACAGATGAAGCGCTTTCGGAGGGTGGAAATGGACCAACGTGGCCAACAGTGATGTGGCAACACAGCCTGCCTGTCTGGATTCCTAGGGTCACTGAGTGGTAAGAAGAAAGTTCTAAGAGCCCAAATGCAAAGACGATCTTTGCGATGACAGAGCCAGAGGAAGGAAGGGTGCAAGGGGCTTCGATCTCCCGGCATCGGGACGAGGGACCTGCGTCACAGCCAAGGGCACAGATGCAGAGTGGTCTCTGGGGCACAGCATGTGAGGGGGCTTTGAAGGGAGACCATGACGTCAGGGCTTGGGGGTCCCAAATAGCACTTATACCTTAGGAAGGGCAAGAAAGCCCGAATCTGAGAAGATGGGAGGGAAGCTGGGAGGCAGAGTGGGGTCCCCAGGCCTCGGGGGACAAATGGAGAACCACTTTAAGAGCCCCTGTGAATGGAAGTGTGGAACAAGAACTTGGGGGACCCGTTTGGGATGAGGGACTTAAGAGCACAGGGCAGAAGATTCAGAGCGACAGAAGGACAACAGAGGCCGACTTGGGAGACGTAAGACAGGCCCGGGCGTGTCGTGGGGACAGCCCCGAGACGGGACGTGGCCAAGGGGAGGAGCAAGATGCCTCGCCGGCCCGGTAGCAGCAAGGCTCCCAGGCGAGGGTAGTCTGCGGCGAGAGAATTAAGGAGGGTTCCCCTGCGGATCTGGTCTCTATAGGCAGCATGCAAGGCTAAGAAGAGGAAGAGAAGCGTCTAAAAGGTGAAGGACAAAGAAGAGTGTGTTTTACTAAGTTTCCTGACTTTAATCCAAAAGGCCGTTTGACTCCACCAAGAAAAATGTGGAAAGGTTTGCTGTCGCATGGTCTTCTGTGCCCTGGCAGGCTACCCAAAGCTCCGGGTGCCGGGTGCGCCCGCCTCTCTTTGGCAGTCGACAGCTGAATGCTGAACGCCATAAACGGTCCTCCGGCTGGGTAAGAGATTTGTAACATACTGTCTTGAAGGAAAAATGGATTCTTTTCTTTTCTAAGAAAGAAATCAGAAGGATGACCTCCGAGGAACGCATACTAATCGGACACATTCAGAGTCCGTAAAGTTGAATTCTTTTCAATCACTAGTGAGCACGCGTGCACACACACACACACACACACACACACATACACCCCACACATAGTAAAGAAAACTGGAAGATTTGGATATTTGAGACTTAAGTACCAAAGCAGAGCGTTATTAGGTATTTTCTGTCAAGCATATCTTGTCTTTCCCCTGCTTTTTTCAGGTCATTCAAAATGAAAGTCTCCTACAGAAAGAACTCAGAAAGGGATGACATTCTTCAGAGAAAATGCTCTGAGACGTCTTCCTCTTTAAGGCCGTTTCTTTTTCGGGCATGGGTTACCAAGCACAGAGATTAAAAAAAAAAAAAAAAAAAGGTTAGTCAGGTTAATTATCCACTGGCAAAACAAAACCCACACCAGAAATGCTTGCCGGCACTCCTCTACGTGTAGGTTTGCAAAACTTTATTAGTCATCTGTGAGCCCAGGGTTTGAGTTTGAACGAAATTTGAGAAAAATGTGACGAGACAATGCAAACGTGACTTTCTAAAAGCAAACAAAAAGAAAGAGAGAGAGAGAGAGAGAGGCGGGGAGGGAGGGAGACAGAGAAAAAAACCTATGGATGATTTAATGGACTGCACGAACTTGAAAGCAAATATGGTATTGATTCATGCCGTGTGTGTTTGGTCCAAAGCTCCAACTCACTGTCTTTGAGAGCAAGATTTATATTTGGATACGCTAACGCTCACAGGGACCTCGGAGGCTCTAAGTGTGCATCTGTGTCTGAGTCGGGACGCTCTCGCTGTGCTGCGATTTCATGCTACGGTCGCGGTGCACTACGGGGCCGAGGGGGTGCGCTCGGGGACTTGGGGGCCGGCCTCGGGCAGAGCGAGGAGCTGAGGCCACGGGGCCAGCTGGAGCACGAGGCTGGGACGGGGAGGGTGGACGGCTGCCCTTGGCACACAGCGGGCTTCCCCATTGGGGCTCGAGAACGGTTTCTTTCCGTACCTTTCTTTGTCATCTTTACTAACAGATGAGTCTCGTTTATCTACGTCTCTATCTCTGTCATGAGCTGCAGCGGACGCGCTACGCTCCAGCTCGCCTGGCTTCAGCCAGGGCGGAGGGGTCGGGAACGACGGAGGCGTTCGGTGCAGCCGGTTCCAGGGCTCGTGAGGGCTGCTAAAGTTCTGCACACTGGGGCCATCCTTGTGGCCGAACATTGAGTTGGGTGCTGAAATGGTGAAGTGGAGAACAAAAAGGTTTAAGAGAAATTATATAATCTGCCGTAATGAAGGTACTTACCAAAAAACTTTTAACAGCACTCAGAGTTAAAATGAATACATATTATGGGGAGCTGGAAAAGGAAAGGAGATTAACAGATTCATTAGAGGAGCGCTCGTCCTACGCTGGAGGGGTAGCTCGCAGCTTTTGTTCTTAAACCAAAGGCGAGGGGGGCGGGAGGGGGAGCTTTAAAAAGGAAAGGGGCCAGATGGGTGTCAAGAGCGCCCCATCAAACACGTCTGGTGCATGCAGAAACCCCGAGCGTGGTGCACTCTCGTGGGGTGACTTGGGAGGAACAACGCTCGGCACGGAGGCACGGTCAAGCCGAGCCTCTACCCACAGCCCCGCGAATGGGACCGCCGCTGCTCCCGCAGCGGTAGCAGGCGGAAACAGGTGACGTCACAGCCCGGGCAGGGCCTTGACCTAAGCAGACGCGGAAGGTCTCCGCGCCGGACAGAGTCGGGAGGGCGAGCTTAAGAGTTGACTTGGGGCCTCCGGGGCCAGGAGAACATGATCTATGGATGGCACGAAAGTAAACGTGTGGCGTGTTCAGCGGCTAGAGAATTCAGTGACTAAAAAACGAGCAGGTGCCACAACTCTTCCCCTGCTAGATACTTTTTTCGTCGAAAACGACATGGCCCTCCCAGATGATGGACTATGACGTGTTGCCAGCTAGCTAGCCTCAGCCTGGTACTGTTTTCCCGCTATTTCCCGTCAAGTTCTCTCAGCGCCATAATGCCAGAGGCCAGGTGAGTGCAAAATTCCCCCCTGCAATGGGACTGTGGCTAAAGTCGTGGATAGCAGGGATAGAATATGGAGGAGACTGAGCTTAAGCAATGTTTTGGGAGTTCAGTCAGTGACGTCACTGCTCCTGATGCCCAGGAGGACATAGTCACGATGGGTTACCCTTGAGACGTTGCTTTCGACGTAAATGCACCCTCACCCCTAACCTCCACCGCTGAGGCCTGCCTTTGCGGTGACGTAAGCCAATGTGTTTCCCAACAGGATCGTTTCCTTTTTGCTAGAAAGGTCTTGAGCCACAGACAGATCAGAGGAGACAAAGAGTCCAGGGCGGATTTTAAAAAGTTAGAGGTACTCACTAACTGAAGGATTTCCAAGTCCCCCGAAGGCATTGCCACCAACCGCTGCGAGGCCAGTGAACGTAGACGGACGGTTAAAAGGCTCTGCGAACACATGGGGAGGAAGGAAAAGGTTGGACTGGACTGAGGAGCACGAAGAGCTTCCAGGCAGGTGGGAAAGAGATGTGGGAGCCCCGCCCTCTCTCTACTCAGACCCGACGTGTCCCTCCTGCTGCTACCAGGTTGTGCAAAAGGTTTTCGGTGCGCTCGGATTTGGGCACTGGATTAGCAAAATATTTACGAGAGCTGTCTTTCCAGAACTGTGCCTTTTGCCCCATTCCTCTTGCCGGGTGGGGACTATCACTCAAGCCCAGCAGTGTCTTAGGACGCCCTCCTGCCCTGTAAGTTCTAACAGAACAAATAAATGACATCTTAAAATGAGTCTCTCGGTGACGAAGCGCCGAAGTCGTGCGTATTATACACGCTGTCGCTGCACTGCGTATACACCATTGCCTGCACCTGCTTGTCACATTCGCAGAAAATATCAAATAAATCAAGGCCGCAAAGAAAGCATACGCCTTTGCGAGGGAGACCTACTCACGGTGAAAGGAGAAGGGATTATAACATAGCAGGCAACGTCTCCTCACCACATCACCTTGCCCCGCTGGGCGGGAAGCGGCCATCGTAAACGTGGATTCCCGGAGGTGGCCGGGCACGTGCCCACTGTGCCATCAGTCCCTTCGGGTGGGACGGCTATGGAGCACGCAGCTACTACTTTAAGGAGGTGGCAGCAGGGGTGCTGAGACACCCCGAGGGTGGACAGCAGGTGCTGAAACTTGTTCCCAAGGGCCCTCATCGCCCCACGTGGTCAGGGAGGTGTCTAGGACCATGGCCGACTTGCCCGGAAGCACAGCAGGAAACAAAGGTTTTCTGAGACACGCACATCATTTCCCATCACCGCGGGCAACTCACCCAGGTGAGCGGCAGGGTTAAGGAAGTTGCTGTGATGAGGCGGTGGCCCGAAAGGGGTCCCGGTTGGGTGTGCAGCACCTAGAAAGTCAGACATGGTGGGGTCAGGCTTCGCAGAATGCCAGTTCCTACCATGCGGCCGGCTCCTCACTGCGTCAGGGCCCCGGGAGAACACTCGGGAAGAAACGCGTTAACGGAAGGGCACCCCGGCCACACACCGGGAGACGACAGGGTCCTGTTAGGGAGCAGAAAACCCAGCCGTGCCCTTTCTCCGGGCGGGGCTGGTCACCCCCAAAACGGGGCGTTACTTTTTCAAGATGCGGACACGCAGCCTGAGAAGTGTGGGGAGATAGCGCAAGGGTAGGGGCGAGGGGGGTGATCCTGTAACCAAAGGAGTTTGAAGAAACGCCCAGTTACAAAGTGCTAAGCGTGGTTCTTCACTGAAGGACTTCTCAGAGCCGTTAGCGTGTTCCTGGGCTCGTTTTCTGAAAGGGGAGCATTTGGCCACGGGATACTTTCTTCGCGGAGCATGTTGGGGGGGCAGGTCTTTCACTCTGAGGAACACTGAGCCTGAAACCACATTTTACGGTCCTTGGGAGTGGCTGTCGCGCAGCAGTGGGTCCGGGCCACGGTGCCTTGCCCCACAGAACCCCTTTCCTGAGGCACGTGTTAGCTGTCAGGAAGGGCGTCACAAGGCCTGGCCCTACGGAACCCGGGATCGTGCGTTGCACCAGGTGACAGGACGTGAGCACCTTCAGGCAGCTCTCCGGCTTCGGTGCTAGGAAAAGCTCCTTTGGTCCGTGTTTGTGGACACCAGTAACCTGCCCGCCAGGGACCTTAGTGCTAGTTCAGCCATCTCCTTTCCTTTGGTTTCCCCATCAGAATGTGTTTCTTCAAGATGCCACAGCCTCCTTTTCCTGGAGGAAGCGGGGGAAGGCAAGAGGGAGAGGACAGACACAGGGTGCATGCACAGGAGGCAGGGGAGGCCCACATTCCTAAAGGCTGAGGGCATCCTGGCTCCCGGGGCGGCAGGCCCGGCTTCAGAGAAGAGACTGGCCGGGCTCACCGGAGGGAGCGTCCTAAGCTTATTTCAGGCATCAGTGCCCAACAGCAAGCTGAAAGTGGCTGCATTTAACACGTGCGTGTGTGAATTAGACACCGCGGCTCAAAGTTTCACCAAATTATCATTCGGGGGCAAAATCCAGTGATGCTCATACCGAGAAAGATGGCCTCCCGGAATGGATGTATACACAGGGCATGAAGAGACTTTTCACTTCTCCACAATCTCTTGCATTTTGTCTAAGTTGCTACAAACGACTATAAATTCCCTCAGGAAGACAGATCAAATGGAGGAGTGCTGTCCCTCCCGAAACCCTGTGAACTCAGTTGATGCTCTGGGTCACTGCTCCCTGGACTACAAGGTCTTCGTGGGGCCTCGGGCGTGGAGGAAGCCATGGAACCCGGGAGGACGTCTGTCACAGTCACGGACTCAGAGAATTGGAAGGCACCTGAGGAGTCATCCGTTCAGTCCTGGACGGTGACTTATCGATAACTCCACCCAGGCAATGCAAAAATGATACTCCATCTCTACCAAGCGAACACGGTCCAGAATATTCATTAGGTGTTAACAGTGTTGCCAGCTAAATAAAAATGTGGCTGCACAGCCTGTGTAGTACAAGCTAATTAATGCTTCGATGAAGATTGGGGGCTCTGCTCAGCCCAGGGCCCCCAGGGGTGCCTTGCAGTTCCAGAATTATTGAAGCAAAAGCAGCCAATTCATCCACTTGGCTCAAACGGAAGCCAGGGAGAAATCTCTCTATTTCTCTCCAAAAATTGCTCTTAGTGTAGCTCTGTCTCAGAGCCTAGGTGCCATGGTAACAAAGCTTTCAAATACGTCCCTAGACAGAACTCACAGAGCAAAACCCGAGACCTTAGCAAATTCCATCTACCCTCAAGGGTGACTCACTTGCTTTGGCAACAAGGCCCATTATAATGATGATTTCTTGCATTGGGGGAGTCTCTCTCTTTCTGAATGGAAGAGCCTTAGGTCAACCCAAAATGAGTCTTGGATAAAAGCCTGGGAAGGCAGCAGGCAGGATGGATGTGAAACTTGTTCCCTCCGGACCAGGAACGGGGAGCCCCGTGAATATTTATGTCCAGAAGAATAAATTCTACTTAGCACGGTGGGTATGAAGTTATGAAGCTCGTCACCAGATTGAGCGCAGCGTCGCCATTTACAAGCATTAGTGAGCGGAGCTCTGTGCGGCAAAATGGCTTTCCAAGGCCTGGATGGTAAGGCTCCTCTGATCCCGAGAGGGCTGTTCTCGTTTCCTGATGCACGTTACGGCTGTGTGTCCGCTGCCTTTTGTCTGTATGTCCTTGGAGCGGAAACGGGTCGTTCTCTGACGCAGTGACCCCCAGTTCCCACTGCCCCCGCTTTGGCACACCTAGGAGGCATTCGAAGGTTAATGAACAGATCCCTCAGGTGTTTCTACCCCGTCCTGCAAGTTTTCTATGATCAAATAATGAGCCGAAGCAACATGAGGCCCCGAAGAGAAAGATGATCTTTTTTTCTCTCTGTAATGAAAGAGGGCGTATTGGTGACGAAGGGTCCATCTCCCTAGACGTACTGGGATGTTGCCTTGCAAGCTGGCAGAAATTGTAGTTTTGGGTTTTTTTTTTTTTAATGCTTATTTATTTTTGAGACAGAGCATGAACGGGGGAGGGTCAGAGAGAGAGGGAGACACAAAATCGGAAGCGGGCTCCAGGCTCCGAGCCGTCAGCCCAGAGCCCGACGCGGGGCTCGAACTCACGGACCATGAGATCATGACCCGAGCCGAAGTCGGATGCCTAACCGACTGAGCCACCCAGGCGTCCCAGAAATCGTACCTGCGAACAACATTCCTCTTTGAAGAGAAGAGTTCTCTTCAACAACAACTCTTTCCTCCGGCTCGGAACTCACCAGCGGCAGAGAACAAAGTTGAAGGCCGGGCCAGGTCATGGGGGTGGTGGATGGCTCCGAAGAGGCTGGGGCCTGGGGGGCGGCTCAGGAACTCGGGTTTCAATCCGAAGTCCAGCTTATGTGGGTCTGACTGCATCTGTTTCTAGGGGAAAAAGGGGAAAAAGAAAAGATGAAACCCCAAGAGGAACGGCAGGGAAGAACGATCTCAGTGAAGAGGCAGAGATGGAAAAAGGAGACTCTGCGAATGGTGCTCTTGGGCTGCGTGCTACAGTCAGGTTCAAGTTCACAAAAGCTGGGAGAACAGCAGCCCACAAAGCACCTCACCCTCGAATGCCAGAAAAGCAGGTCAACCTACGAGGGGCTAGTGGGGCCTGCGTCCGGACGGACGGGGCCAGTGTTCCGTCTGTGAGGTCATACGGCCTGAGGAATAAAACCCTTGATTCAAACTCGCCACCACTCCGAAACAGTTTATCATTCGCTGTAAAGGCCCATTTTAGCAAGTTTTTAAATGATAGGATTTCAAAGCTCATTTTATTAGGAATTCTGCATGAATAATCTGCTGTGCAAATTAATCGTTAATGACTCTATGCTGTACTCTAATAGATCACAGTACATTAGTAACGGGAGGTTATGATGAAATATTTGCATGCTACAAGCTAATTTTCAGATGCTCATTGTTACATATTAAAACAAAAACAAAAACAAACAGCAACAAAGCGGGGGTACTCATTTAACGAACAGGGGTCTTTTTCTTGCCCTTGCCCCACGACTACCTGAGGAAGAGATCAGCCAGTGAACCATCGAGAACTTCTCGTTTTTTGTTTTTGTTTTTGAGAGACAGCAGAGAGAGAGGGAGAGAGAATCCCCTACAGGCTCCACGCTGTCAGCGCAGAGCCCAAGGTCCTTGACATAAGCTTGAACTTATGAACTGTGAGATCATGACCTGAGCCGAAACCAAGAGTCGGATGCTTAAGCGACTGAGCCACGCAGGCACCACCAGAACTTCTCCTCTTGCGAAGCACTTGCCATCAGCTGCCATCGCTCCGTTTCCACCCAGTTGTATGTATCCACCCTCAAGCTACTCTCCGTTCACCTTTCTGGAAGGCTGTAGAAACTGGCTCACCGTTTCCTCCCTTCTGCACTGTGGCACCATTCTTCAGGCCAGTAGAGGTCTCAAATACGGGGTTTTCTTTTTTAAAGAAGATTTTTTTAATGTTTGTTTATTTTTGAGAGAGACAGAGTGCGAGCAGGGGAGGGGCAGAGAGGGAGGGAGAGAGGCAGAGAATCTGAAGCAGGCTCCAGGCTCCGAGCGGCAGCACAGAGTTGGACACGGGGCTCAAGATCATAAACTGCGAGATCATGACCTGAGCCGAAGTCGGACGGTTAAGTGACGGGGCCACCCAGGCGCCCCTCAAAAATGGGGGTTTCAGAGTTGCCCCACCTTCTTAATCCTCAGCAACCTTCTCTCTGAATCTCACGCCTCCCCTGATGAGCATCAACCCTGCCCCCCCCCCCGGCGGGGGGGTGCTGGAGGCTCCATGCTTCCCTCTCTGTGCCCGTCCCCCTGCCTGGCCCTCCCCGCCCGCCAGGCTCCCATCCTTCACGGCCCTTCGCCTGATTCTGATCCACTCCTCCAACCTCTGCCACCCGACTGACGCTCACAGTCCATTTGGGCCTGCACCACCTCAAACTCCCTCGTGTCTGCCACTGTATACTAAAGTCAACAGGAGGCCTCTGGGCTAGCTTGCGTGAGAATCCGGGACGACCGAAGTACGCCCTTCCCTCACCCACTCATCCGCTGTGCCCACTCGAGATGAAACGTCCCTGATCACTTCCAGCCGGAAGCGGATAGCACGTTCCATTGCTTCTCATGTGTACGTGGGTATGGTCGCTGGAGACAGCAGGGTGGGTGAGGGCCCTCTGAGCCTGGCACCCGAAGTAATCTGCAGGTGGTATTTGGGGAGTACTAACAGAATGAGGAAACGCCCACTACAGGCAAGGGGACAATGCCATTTCTGCACAAATCCACAGGGCAGTAATAGCCAGACCCCAAACCCGAGCTTCTAATTCACCATAAATCCTTGAAAACCTTCTGAGTGCCTCTTTTAATTTGGTTGCCAGATTATTTGGTGCTAATACTGCACGGTACACAACACAGCACATTAACCACAACTTAGGTCCACGAAGCCATCCAGGCGGATGGCACCTGGGGATTACAAAGAGCTCGCTGGGAAGGGGAGATGAGCAGCCGTCTTCGTGTGCAAGATGGCTTCCTAATTGAATTGAGATAACGAAGGTTTTAGTTGCCGGGGACACCTTCACGGGGAGGAAGTTGCTAAAGTAGCACATACAACACCCTTCATCGCTTGTAACCGAAGGAGCTACGAGGAGGGTTGAGTCTCACCTACCGATCCGCTAATCGCCATCATCCAGAACAGAAAGGGAACTGGCCTGAGTGTCAAAATTTAGTCAGCGCCCTAAGCACGCAGGTTTGCTAAACCATCAGGTTTCCAATTAAACCTCGCCTAACAATAAAATAAAAGTGAGCAAAACTCACTGACGGGACGTTAGGGGAAAGAGCAGGAGAGCAGGTACTTGGCACCGAAGCAAAATAGCTTAGTGACCTCATTTCTTGAGGTCGGCTTTTTAACTTTTAGCTAGGTCGTTGTTGTCGTTTTCAATCATTTAATCATTAAAAAAGAAAACAGGGGCGCCTGGGTGGCTCAGTCGGTTTTAGCGGCCAAGTTCAGGTCAGGTCGTGATCTCACGGTTCGTGAGTTAAAGCCCCGCGTCGGGCTCTGGGCTGACAGCTCAGAGCCCGGAGCCTGCTTCGGATTCTGCGTCTCCCTGTGTCTCTGCCCCTCCCCTGCTTGGGGTCCCTCTCGAAATAAATGAAACAAAACAAAACAAAATATTTCTGTGACAGCCAGCTCTCCCTCCCTCCTTTATTTATCAGCTTTTTTTTTTTTTTAAGTTATTTATTTATTCAGAGACAGAGCCAGCGAGCAGGGGGCGGGGCAGAAAAAGAGGGAGGGAGGGAGGGAGAGAGAGAGAGAGAGAGAGAAAGAGAGAGAGAGAGAATCCTAAGCAGGTTCTGCACTGATGCGGGGCTCGAACTCAAGAACAGCAAGGTCATGACCTGAGCTGAAACCAAGCATTGGTTGTCTAACTGACGAAGCCACCCAGGTGCTCCTATAGGCTTCTTATTCTCACGGAGGCCGTTAGCACTAAACGCTTGTTCGTGAAAAAATGGATTAACTGAAGCTTACTGGAATTGCTTGATCGGTCGTCTTCCTCCACTTTTCTAGGCACACTTACACAGACCTTAAATCTGAACTTGTCAGTTATTTCTGTTACAACTATGTCAGCCAGTGATGCCTTATCTGGTCTCCTGCAGAAGGCTCTTGACCCTGTCACGAACCGCGAGATCGTGACCTGAGCCGAAGGTGGACGCTTAGCTGACTGAGCCACCCAGGCGCCCCTCAAATATGGGGGTTTCAGAGTTGCCCCACCTTCTTAATTGTCAGCAATCTAATGGCTAGAACGTAAATGGCTGGAAAAGTGGAAGGTAGTATTCATCTGTGTGACAAAAACACAGCCAAAGGAAGCAAAATAATCTGCAGGGTAACGGGCCGGAGGTGGTTCTGACAGGTACTGACTGTTTTCTAACCTGTGTCACTGGTCATCAAGATGACTAAGGTCACTGCGAACCAAACACGACGTCTGAAAGAGAAATTCATTTTTTATTTTTTTAGGTTTCTTTTTTTTTAATGTTTGCTTATTTTTGAGAGGGAGAGAGAGAGAGAGCATAAGCAGGGGAGGGGCAGAGAGAGAGACACGGAATCAGAAGCAGGCTCCAGGCTCTGAGCTGTTAGCACAGAGCATGATGCGGGGTTCGAACCCACGAACCACGAGGTCATGACCTTGAGCTGAAGTCAGACACTTAACCAACTGAGCCACCCAGGCGCCTCAAGAAATTCTTAACGCCACACGTTGCTGATGGAAGCTTAGTAGCATCCCATAGGGTCTAAAGGGCTCTATAAGCTTCTCAAAGTCATAAAATGAAACCAATGCGCCAAATCTTACAGAATTGAAAACTTCCATGTGTGGCTGTTTCCAGACACTGTTATTTTCTGTATAAACACGTGGTTGCTATAATTAGATTACCCCTTTTTGCAGGATTTAATCTAATTTGGATCAATATGATGACAAAATCCTCTAAAAGGAAAAAAAAAAACAAACCATCAGGGAGTTCTTGGTTTATTCCTATTTTATCATTTTATTGGTGGTTTCCCTAATTAATAGTAAGATTTCCTAATAGCATCTTCTTGCCAGTGGATCTTTAGAAGCTGTTTAAATGCCTCCTTCCTCCATCCGGAGATCCCCCCCACCCCCCCCCCCCGGCCCCCGCCCCATGCTCCTGTCCCCCTGCCCCCTTCCCCCGCCAGACCAGGAAGGCAAGACTGACCTTGACTTTCTGTTGGTGGTGGTAGATTTGCCAGGCGATGTGAACATGCATAGCACACCACTTCCCTGGTTTCTGGAACAACAAAGAGCAATGTGGTCACAAGAAGACCTTCCAGAGAACAGCATCTCCCAATTCCTTCAGAGCTTTTCAGCAGATTTTGGCTGCAGACGCTCTTTTTCACGGCCCGGTTGTGCTCAGTCCCCCCTCCAAGTGCCCTCTCTTAGCGGCTGCCCAGGGCCCAGGCCTCAGGGAACCCCGGTCAGCTCTGCCCCTCCTTCCCTTGGGGCCCGAGCTGGAAGCCACTGCTCAGAAAGCCACACTTGACGGGGACCTCCCCGGTTACCGAGCACAAGATGGCAAAAGCCCGAGCCCCACTCTGTGTCTCTTCTTTCTTTTCTGGTGCCAGCTGGCAGAGCGGGAGAGGGGGAAGCTGTACCTAACAAATGCGGCCATGCTACCAGGCAAATCGGCTGTTCAGAAGAGCTAATTAGGGAGCGTCTGTGAATCGGTTCAAAACAAGAGAGGGTACAGAAGAACCCGCGTAGCCTCCCCCAACGCGGTTTTGTGTTAACCCCCAGAGCGGAACAAAGAAATTCACATTTCCATTGAAGTCCTGTTCCCACAAACGCTTCGCTAAGAGTCAACTACCCATTGGTGTTCTTGGGTGTCGCTCGTTCCCAAGTGAAAAGAGAAGAAACAAAGAGAGCTGGTTCCTTCCTGTGCTCTAGGCCTCTGCTGCCGTCACGTCTGGGAGTGTATCAAGCCATGTCTCTCAGATCAGTTCATGTCTTGCTTTCCAAGCAGAGGAGTAACTGAGTGAGCTGTCTTACCACCCTGGAGGGCAGGGACCACCTCCTGCCAATCGGTTTGTAGTCTTGTTGTGTAACCTACTCATAAGCTCCCGACACGCGCTCAGTAACTACAGGCCAGATGAGAGGAAGCGCTGCCCCATTCCTACATCGCCAAAGGACAGACGCTTCTGGTTTCTATATTAAGGAGCTGTTTCTGAAAGATATCCTTAAATCCAAGTCTGGGGTCAGTTCCCGTGTCATGAAATCATGGGTCATCTGAAATCACCTACGTGATGACACAGTTCTCCTTTGTTTCGCTTTGGAGAAATTGAATTCTCTGATGAGAGGCACCAGAAATGGGTTAAGTGTAGCTGGAAATCTATCCATCCATCCATCCATCTTCCATCCGACCATCCCCCTCCCCAGTAAGTCAGCGTTTATTCAGAGGTCATCTCTTGGCCACTCTCCAGACCACCCAACACATTAACAAAACCAATGCTTAGTATGTCCCTCTTCTGCACCAGAGAAATAGGTTGAATGGCTCTGAGGGTCAACATCACGTACCACAGAATGAGGCAGCCACCAGCCCAGATAAATAGATGGATGGATCTATCTATCTATCTATCTATCTATCTATCTATCTATCTCTTCTAGGTGCAGGAGAGACAACAGAGCTCAGTGAAATCCTAATTTCTGCCTTTAGCTGAAGACTTCCCACGTATGTTCCCAGTAGTCAAGCTTTCAGCAGCCCTACCAACAAGATACGGTGCCTCAGTTGAATGTGCTGTTTGCTTTCCCTCAATGGCCTGGCTTCCTCCAACACTCAAAGCAACACAATGTGGGCCATTTCCAATTACACTACCTGAAAAGCCCAGCCACTCTCCTCCCAACATTTTATTCCAGCGTTTCTATGGCTTGTTTCCCTGTAATGGATTTGTATTTTTAACCCGCAGGGAGTCAAACAGAGGTTGCAAAACAGTTCTAGAAGAAGCTCTCTTACCCTTAACATAGGTCTGAAAGGATCTGTCAACTGTGAAGAGAAAATGACAACTCGGTTACATGCCTGTCACTCAAACAATTGCTCTAATTAACAAATTTGTAGTGCTTCATTAGGAGGGGAAATTAAAATGTTAGAATTTTACTTTTAAATGAAGCCCTTTTAGAGAATAATTAACCCATTTTCACACGATCAAAAGTGCCAAGCGTCCCTTCCCCCACTTCACAAGCCTGGGCACGTCCACGCTGACAAGCCCCCCGACCAAGTTTAATCAATAGCAATTTGCCCTCCGGCAACATGATTTGCTCACATTATACATCTGAACAGCCCTTCTAACCACACCGCCTGGGTTCTAAGGGAGGACGGCCTCCGGACCGGACCGTAGACCTAGAAGCCTGGGTACCCAGGGGTTTCTGGGAGAGCTGGCCTCTCCAGACGTAAGGTGGAACCAACGCACTCCATGTGATGACCGCACACTACTTAGAGGTATTACACACTTTTGAAAGGTTCACTAAACATCGTAAAAATACTTACGTAGCTAGTTCATTTTTTTTTTTTTTTAATTTTTTTTAAATTTTTTTTTTTTCAACATTTATTTATTTTTGGGACAGAGAGAGACAGAGCATGAACGGGGGAGGGGCAGAGAGAGAGGGAGACACAGAATCGGAAACAGGCTCCAGGCTCCGAGCCATCAGCCCAGAGCCCGACGCGGGGCTCGAACTCACAGACCGCGAGATCGTGACCTGGCTGAAGTCGGACGCTTAACCGACTGCGCCACCCAGGCGCCCCAGCTAGTTCATTTTTAACTTCTACCTAACTCTGGTCATCAGTTTCTGACTGGCCCTTAGCCAGGGAAGAAGACGATGTTGTAAAAAGTCACCGTCTGTCCACATTTACTCTAAAGCCAAACGTTAAGTAACAACCCACGAGACAAGACTGCATCTTTTGTAGATCTTCCAATTGTTTTTGAGAGGGGGTGGAGGTGTGCGTTATGAACGAGTGACATAACCAAAGCGCGAGGGACATTTGACTCAGGTCAGAGGAGGATTCTGCATTACAAGTGAGCCAGGAGTGCCGTTGGGGTTGGGGGCGGTGCGGGGAGAGGGTCCTGTGACGTCCAGGAAGAGAGGTGCTTCATGCTTTTCCATTCAAAACATTTTACAGTTACTTCTTCGGTGAGAATATGTAAGGGGACGTAGACAGAGAAGATTGGTCAAACAGAAACTACACAAGCTGATAGTGCCCACTTCCTGGGCTTGGACCACAAGCCATTTGTCTTCTCCCCTGCTGGCGAGTTGCTCCCCTTGTGCCATCAGCCACAAGGGAGCAGGGGAGATTTTGTTCTCTAAGAGTGACTGGCATTTTCTTGCACAAACTAGAAGGAACAGCTCCCACGGCAGCTCGCTCAGATGGGCTGCGGAAGGTGCGTGACCTGGGCCGGCTGGCCCACAGAAACAAACAGACCCTGGCGTTACCTGTGACCGAGCCTGACTTTCTTCTACGTACCCTCGGGTCCTTCTGGAGCAGAGTGTGCGGGACGGTCCCGGGTCGAGCAGCGACATCGATAGGGTTGGAGGTCTACAAATTAATCAGACCACAGCTTAGGAGGCATAGAACACATGACCTGAAAAGCAAGATCTTTCTTTTCCTTCTAAAATAATGCAAGTCAAACGTCGATTTCGTTTGTTTGTTTCATTCTGGAAGACGAGAGTTCACAGAGGCATCTCCCCCAGTTGATCACACATGTTCTTCAAGAGGACCCGCTCCCTAGTTTCTCCGGGGACCCTGACCCGACTTTGCCCTGTCTAGGGAAGGCATCCAAAAGCGGAGACGTGGACCACGTCACTTCTCACCGCAATAAGCAGCACAGGACCGAAGAGAAGAAACATGAAGAAACATGCGAAAGCAATGCCCCCAACTCCACCTTCTTCTGACACACGGACGGCCCTGTCACTGTGTCTTTTGCGTTACCACCAAGCGCGCTAAGAACTGCTTGCGTGAACGTCGCGGCCATTTGCTGTACCAGGTGCCCCTCATCGGATAACTGCAAGTGTTTCACAGACATTAAGCTAACTCTAAACTTTAACCGGCAGACAATAACAAGGAATCACGCTCGGGCATTACTCATTAGCGGGGGTGGAGATGGAACAAGCGGGCCTGATTCCGGGACTGCACACATCTCCTATTCACTGATTCCTACAGTAATTCGGCTTCATCTTTCCGAAACCACCACCATTCTTGGATGTCATTCGTAACAATAACCTTATCCACAGGCTTGTGTCCTTTGAATTTACAGCAACGACAAAAAAGCCTACTTCTGGCGCTCGCAGTCCCTACTATCTGGGGGGACGGAGGCGTCAGGACACGTTTCACCAGGTATCTTATTGCAGAAAGCACAACTTCGAGGACTCCCCTCACGCCAGAAGTTAACGCGGGTGGGAGAAGGGCCCAAGCTTAGGCACAAAGCGTGTCTATAAGGAGAAGGGAGGGGAGGGGGAAGCATGAAAGAAGGAAAAGCAGTCAGCTGCTGTACAACTAACAATTAAGCTGGAGTTGTTAACAGCCTGATTTGCATACATATGAAGAACTCCGCTAATGAACTGCAATCTACATATTCAATCAGTAAGATGGCCTGGAAAGGCCTATTTCAACACCAAGAGAGACACTTTCTTGCCCAGATGTAGTTTTCTGTGTGATTGGATAATTGTGAGTGAGGGAAATAGTCTAATTTATTAAATGACCTAGCAGTCTGTTTGGAGAGGCACTGGAGAGTTGGTGAAGCCCAGAGGGGACAGACCAGGGCCCAGGGTGTGAGGGTGCAGGTAATGGCAGACGGGGGAAGGGGTTGAAAAGTCATTGTCATTTCATCCCGAGACAGGAGGGTTTCACAGGGCCATCACGCAAGTCCCAGGTATGGATAACCCGGCCTATAAGCCACAATTCCAAGCAGATAAATGTCACTTCTGAGGTGTACCTCGTCCTACCCCCAATGCTTTTAAAGGTCTTTTCCTGTTTCTAGTTTCATGACAACGTGCCTCTAGAAAGGCAAAATGCGCTCATGCTGGAAGACCCTGGCCCCAATCTGGTGTTTTCTCTTAGAAACGAGATCGGGAAAAATAAACAAATAAAAAGGAAAACCAAAAACCACACACAGCAAACTTTCCTACTGAAAAAGTCTGAGGACGGTTACTAACATAACTGCACTTCGCTTTTGTATAAAAATAAAGAAGGGGCTGTGATAAAGTCGCATAAGGGCAGAGTGTCCTGAGAATGACTCCTCCCTATTGACCTTCAGAGAGAAGCCTAGCCCCAGATGAGTAGGATAACACTGACTAGGTAGAAACGAGTTTAGTTCTTTAAAGGGCCAAAGGTTAATTTCCCATGAGGCTGTTGGTCTTGACCTTGGTAAGCATGACCACGGCTGAGGGAGGACTGAAGCAGAGTAGAGCCAGAATTTGCAGACAGACAGGGCTCAGGAGCAAAATGGGGAAAGAGGGAGCAGAAGCCTCTTCCCCTCACACAACTGGAAGGATGCAATTTTAGTTTGGAATTGTTCTCTTCCTGTCTCTTACAATCAGTCAAGGCTCAGCTTTGCCTCTTTGCTCGTAACGTGTAACTCAAGGACAACTTGGTGCACACACATATCTGACATTTCATACATTTCCTGACCAGAAGCTTATGTCCACAATACTGGCAATAAAAATATATATATATATACGTATTCTGTATATTTTCAAGATTATAGGAAATCGCGGCTCAGCTGAGATTATATGGATAATACAGATTGAAAATGCAATTCGGGCTGAGGTTTAAAACTCAGAGAGAGGGCTCGCAAAAAAAACCCCAAAAAACCCAAAAAAACAAACAAAACCAAAACGTCGCTCTAATCCCAGTGGTCACTTCGGATTGGGAAGATTAGTCACTGGCGGGCGACAGGATGCAGAACCCACCCGCACGCCTAGCCTGGGGCTCGGCTGGTAAGGATGCTTGCCTATTTCCACGGTAAGGTTTCTTACCTTCGGCTGAAATGCTCCTTGTAGTGAACCAAAAGGACCAGTGGGTGGAATCATAGGGGGGATGCCCGATACTGCAGGAGGGTAGGAATGGAAGAGCTGTGGCCAAAGACGGAGAGGGGAAAAAAAGATTTTAGTAGGAGGCAAATGATATATTCCAATTCCCTTCCCATAGAACGACATCAACATTAGCAAGCCAGATAATCTCAGTTTGATGCTATTAGTCAAGAAGCCAGGATGAGATGATCACACAGATGTGCCATGAATGCTTAACTTAAAAAGTTAAAAGTAGTTCAGAATCAATCAGCCAACAAATGATGTCCCAGATGAGGACATCATTAGAAAGGGAGCTTTTCTAATTATTAATTGTTAAATCGGATAGAAGACCTAAATGGTTTGAGATTTTAATGTGCATCAAAAACAGGAGGGGTGCTGAGCCAAATAAGACGCCCGGAAAATTACAAGTTAATTAGAAAAAGGAAAAAAAAAAAAGAAAAAAAAAGAAAAATTAGGGAAAAAGGAAGAAAAAGAAGCAACTCTTTATGAGTTCCAGGATTTTATACCATTAAAACTCAATTAGTAATTTTAGATTTTTAATAGTTTGAGGAAATGAGAAAATAAGCACAATCCTTGCTTCATTACGTTGTTCCAGAAGTGGCAGTTTCAGAGGACAATTTAATTGTCTCATCTCAAATCATGACAAATATTTGTGGGAGGGTAAAACGAAACGATTCAGTGTGCACTTACAACGGAGCTACTGTTTTCTAGAAGGTGGACAGGCTCACTGGGGGCTACCCAAACCCAGCCCTTGCTGTGTCCGACCACTCAGTGCAGGGAGAAGAATGATTCTGAATTAAGAATATGAACTTTCTGGAATTAAGAGGACACGATGGAGGAAAGAAATATGCAGCAATACTGAACACAAGGCACAGACATGGTTTCCTCCTTCTAGAAATGGAGTATTTCCGAGATCCCACTGCTCCGATTCCATTTACTTTGATCAAACCACCGTACAGACATTTAAGTCACGGCCCACCTTTCGGGTTGCGTAAAATGTCAAAAACACAATACTAAGAACTCAAGCTTTTCCTGATGATGCCTTTCTGTTAGCTATTTCTAGGTAATGGCTGAAATGCCCATTTTGCAATCCTGTTTTCAGGGCACATGCTTTTCTGTGGGTCTTTATTTCATTTTGCTCCCTTCAATGATGCAGCAAAGTTTTTCAGACTAATTGATATTGAACTAAATCCACTTAAACAGTGATTGCAAGCCAAGTGCCCTCATTTAAAACTACTTTTAAGTCTAAAATTGTGTTTTAGATACTTGAGCGCATTCCATCTTAATTCCCCTTATAAGGTCCTAATCCCCAAAGCAGGGGAGACGAAGTACTTCATACATTATCCACTATAACTAATAAAATGAAATAACCCTCCCCCAGTATACTGTATGAAGCGGTGTAATTAAATACATGCCACACTAAAACACACTCAAGTCTCTAATACTCCGCCTCTCGGTGGGTATATTTCCTTTAACGTTTTCAATACAAAAATTAGATATTTTCATCACTGTCCTTCTGCTGTTATAGTCCATGACTGACCCTCTTAGAATACGGTCCCCTATTCTGGACTCCCCACCCCCCCCCACCGGATGAAAAATCTGAAGTACCTAAGTAATAAAACATAAACCTGCCGGAAATTCAGGCCCCCGGGCTTACTCTCTATCGTACTTCTAGGACCGCCGGTGGCACACGCATGTAGGAAGGCACTACACTTGGTCCAGATTTACTCAGAAGGAAATCTGAGCCACTGGCTGAGCACGCTCAACTGTCTCTAGGAATGGCTTCCTTAGCTAGTCCTTCGCTGAAATCCACAAACACAAAGGGCAGAAATCTGATGGCCCTTAAGGACGGCACCACTCGCGGGACAGTGCTAAAGAGGAAGCCCAGGCGTCTGCTGCATTTTGCACGTCCGTTTAAAAAAAAAAAAAATGCTTTTGTATCACAGTGCTGTGAGCAGAAAGTGCCAGAACAACGTGGGGCTCCGGCACTCGGATATACCTTCCGCATCTCTTCCTGAGGAGGGTCCCTCACGTTATGTCTGCACGTCTCTAGAGTAACTGATGCTTAACTGATTTCTAATATCTTGTAGTTTTGACTTCTCGGCTGGCTACACTCTGGACTAAGGCAGGGTCTGATTATCTGGTTCGGAGTAGGAATGAGCTCACAGGCTTTGCTGATCTACTGAGGAGCACTTCTTTCCAAGCAAGCATAGGTGAGGACGGATGGACAACGTGGCTACAAGAAATTACTCCTCTTCTTTCTTTCTGGTGTCGCTTGAAAAATATGAATAAACCACTGAGCAAAGAAACTTGCAAAATTTCAGGTAAGAAGGATGCAGTATTCACTCCATAATCAAAATATCACGGTAAGATGTACAAGGTGCTTGTCTTAGAAGATAAATAAGTAAAGCCCTCGTCTCACGTCTCAACTGAAAGGTATCGAAATAGGCTGGTGCCGATTTCAGTTCTAGAACCGTACTCTTTAACGTGGCATAAAAGAAAAAAATTTTTTGTTACATAAAGAAGAATGAGGTTAAAGGGGAAAAACCATGTATTTCAATCTTAGGACCCTCTTTTACTGGAATGATAGTTTTTGGTTTTGGTTGTAACAAGCCCAGGAGAACACGACCAGCCACGTGGGAGAGGGGTCTACATTTAGTCCAGGAGGAAATGAGAATCTGCTTTTGGAGGACTTAAGGAGTCAAAAAAGACGAACGACATTCTGTTCGGAAGAAATATTTCACGTTGGGTTCTGGGAAATCTGTGCTAAGGATGTTTTGGGCAATTCCTGAAATCCTGTGATTCCAGGGTCTCCTGCGGCCACAGTGATTCAAGTGCAGACCCCCCACTTTGAGGACAGACGCCTGGCTCGCAGTGAGGTTCACCTGTGCTTTAAGGTGTCAGGAGCGCTAATGATCTTTTGATTCGGAAGAGGATACTGCATCTTTACCAGAAGCAAACGTCACAAAAGCAAGCATCCAAAGTGACGAGGCGCAATGGGAATTCTCGCAAAGATGATTAAGGAAGGCTGCTAGTCATTTACTGATCTGTGGCAAGAGGACAAAAATGGAAAAGCAGTTACATTGAATGTGTAGCATGGTAACAAGACTCACACTGTGCCGGTAGAATGGGTCAACTTTTGTAGGGTATTTGTCAAACTGTAAAGGGATCAAAGCAAAAGCTAGTTACTTAAAGAGTCTACATTTCTGTTCACGGCTTCGGCGGAGGCAGCCCTGAGCGAGCTTCTCCGCCGTTAATTAGGCTGTCAACAGACTCCACGACCTCGTTGTACGTGAGGAACCGTTCTCGACTCCTGAGTCCCTCCGACAAGACAGGGGAAACCAAAGTGAAAACCCAGACGGTGCATTGCGGTCCTGGCCACACCGGAGAGTCATTTCGGGTCTACATTTAGAGACCGGCATAAACCAGACCTTGAAACTGGAGAAAAGGGGCAATTATTCAGATACATCAAAGAGAAGCGAGCATCTGGTCTGATTTATCCAGAGAGTTCCCTCCGTTTCCATCTTCCTTGTGGCTGAAGAACTGTATGTTCAGCCACCTGCTGAAACGTATTAGACCCAAATATAAAGGAATCTGGCAGAGGTCTTGGAACTTCTCTTTTGAGCAGGAAAGAGTATCCCACCACTTCCTCTAAATAACGTCAACGTCCTGGTGCTACAACCCCCCCTTAGTTAGATTTGATTTAACAGCCCACTCAGGCTGCCATAAACTCTTTCCCCAAATATTAAGCCCTTAAAAAACGTAACTGTTGAGAAGGACAACAATTCATCCAGAAAAAAAAACATACAGGATTTACTATAGGAAAACATTTTGGTCCCAAGGTCTCATCTCTAATGTTCTCCTAAATAAAATTTACGAGATAAACTTTAAAATTCCATCTGTAGGGGCGCCTGGGTGGCACAGTCGGTTAAGCGTCCGACTTCAGCCAGGTCACGATCTCGCGGTCCGTGAGTTCGAGCCCCGCGTCGGGCTCTGGGCTGATGGCTCAGAGCGTGGAGCCTGTTTCCGATTCTGTGTCTCCCTCTCTCTCTGCCCCTCCCCCGTTCGTGCTCTGTCTCTCTCTGTCCCAAAAAATAAATAAACGTTGGAAAAAAAAATTAAAAAAAAAAAATAAAATTCCATCTGTAAAAACGTTAAGTAGAACAAAATGGGAGGGGGAGGGAGGAGAGGACACAAAGTTTGGTGAAGGGCGCACCTCTTAAAAATCACGGAATTCAAATCTATTCTCGCCATGCCGACACTAACTGCCTTCAAATCAAGTATTTCCTTAAATATGAAAAATTAAGTCAGTAAAACACTCTAATACTCACTGTGGCAGACAGGGCTCTATCTCAGAATACTTAGCACCCTAATATGGGACTGTTCGTTACAGTTTGTAAGTTAAAAAAGAAAAACAAATCCCAGGTGGCTCATCCAGCAAGGGCCAGCCCCGGGTCAAGACCAAGATCATGTCCTTGGCAATGGCAGCTCTCATCACGGGGCCGACTTCTGCCCCTGTGGGTGCATCGCTCCCTGGCCACTTGCTGACAGAGCAGGATGCCAGACTTGGGCACCGTCTCATGAAATACAAAAAATATAACCCCCGCCCCCAACAAAACAGGCTTGGGGAGCCCCCTGAAAGAGCAGGGGTAACAGATACAGTCCAGATCTTCTGACGGCTCTCTCCCCTCCTCCGCCTTCCTCCTGACTCCCAGTATTCTATGAGCATCTGTTTGCTCTTATTACTCGGTGCGAAGCACCGACAGATACATTTTTACACCTGGTGGCGACCCCCCCAAGATGCTCAAAAAGGCACAACTGCCCTTGAAGAAGTTAACTACCCACACTGGCTGGGACTGCTTGGAGGGCATCTAAAATACCCTCCCCTCCGCCCATGCGCACACACAGTGCTGGACAGAACTTGCTAGAAAGAGGCTCCTGCCTCGGGCCCCGGGTCAGCGCTGCCCGGAGCAGGGCGCACTCCCTTCTCTCCAGCCAAGACGGACGAGGCCAAAGGAGGCCCCTAAGTGGCCAGCGCTCCCCACCCGGTCTCCTGTGCCCCGACGGCCCATTCCGCCCCGGCGTGCTGCACAAAAGAGAGTCGTGCTCTACTTATCCTCACATTTCTGCCTGGGGTACGCACCATGGGAGGTGCTGGCGTCGGCATGATGGCGGTGGGGGGGATGGCGTGGGGGAACGGCGTGAAGGTGTGCTGGTGCGTGTGCTGGTGCGTGTGCTGGTGCTGGTGCTGGTGCTGGTGGAACTCGGTCCGCAGGTAGGGCGGAGGGCCCAGGGAAGCCCCGCGGTCAGCACTCTGAGAGGCCAGAAAGCGTGTGTTCAGTTCCTGTCGCAAGATGTCTTGCTCTGGAAAAGAAGGAAAGGGAGAGGGTGATGCTTCCCCCCCTGCCCCGGGTGGTATCCTTTGGATAAGGACACCCGAGGCCCTGACCAGAGAGGTCGGCGGGGCCGAGGGCACCCCCGAGGGCCCCTGTGCCCCCGGATGGAAGGGAACAACCAACCGGAGGATCCTGACGCCCAGTCACAATGGAATTGTGTTCTTCCAGCCCCTAGGCTTTCGGGGACAAGGCTCCAGGCCGAACAGCCAGAGGTCAGTTTTCGGCTCTGTGACCGCCAGCTCAGGGAGCCTGGGCGTGGTGGGGGGTGGGGATATCACCCACCTGGGTGGGTCTCAGCTCCCTCATCTACCACAGGGGGACAATATTGAGGGTTCAAGGAATTAACATCGTTGAGTGCACACTGATCTCTGTTAACCTGGCTGTGTTCCCATGCCCTCGTCTTCAAGGGGGGATGTCTGCCACAGTGGGACAACATGGCTACAGGGGCCCAAACGTGGGATACCAGCCTGGTCAATACAGGTGAGGAGAGAAGAAGCCAGTACCCAAGGCTGGATTTTGCTAAGACTTAAAACTCTGGGATACCTTGGAGCGAAAAGCGCATCTTCCCCTCCCAAGAACGTAGAAGGCCCCACTCCTTGAAAACAACCCCCTTAAACCAGGATGGAATTTAAAGAGACTGGAACAGAACAGTCGCAGGCCTGGTGAAGTTTCCGTCCCTCGAATGGGATGACCGGGCGTATGTAATCCGTGTTTTACCACGTAGCGCGTGGCCTTATTTGGAAAAGCCTCTGGACTTCCAACCAGCGGGCTTCCCTTTGGCTGTGTCCGAGCCTCCTGGGCTGTGCTAGGTGGGTAGGGGGCGGCGTGTATCTCTGCCAAACCTCAGCCCATGAAGGACCAGAGGCGGGTTACAAGAGTCTCTATAACAAAGCAGCAACTGGTCAGTCGATAAAACCTAGCCATGAAGGACACACAGGCAGTGGTGAGGCCCCAAGCGTGGGAGACGGGAGGGCAGGTGGGCGAGGTCAGCCCCCCCTCCTACCTGAGTAAGTGCTTCCGGCCGGGTGTCCGGGGACCTGCAGACTCCCTGAAGTCAGAGGTGGTGGCGGAGGCAGAGCCGTGGGAGGGGCGAACATATTGGGGTGATGTGAGTGTGCAGGGGGCTGGAGGGTGGGTGTGAAGCTGTGCAAGGGGCTGTGGTTGGGCAGTGACAGGGGGAACGGGGAGGCCGAAGGGTGGTGAGAGATGTGAGGCGGGGCGGGCTGAGTCTTTGCTGGGGTGCTGCTTCTGCTACTGCTGTTGGAGTGACCAAAAAAAAAAAGGAAGGAAGGAAAAAAGAGGTAAGCAATTTATTTTCTTAAAAAAAAAAAAAAAAAAAAATCCTATCTCACTGCCCAAAGCCGTGCAATGCTTTCTCCTGTTCCTTCTTCTTTATAGACCCTCCCTCATGCCCACAAGAAGCCTCTGCTAAAATCATAACCGCAGGGGCGCCTGGGTGGCTCAGTGGGTCGAACGTCTGACTCCTGGTTTCGGCTCAGGTCATGAGCTCATGGTTTGTGGGATCGAGCCCCGCATTGGGCTCTGCACTGAGGGCACAGAGCCTGCTGGGATTCTCTCTCTCCTTCTCTCTTTCCCCTGCTTATGCTCTCCCTCTCTCTCTCTCTCTCAGCGGTGAACACTTGGTGACCCGATGGCGGCCGGAAACTCTCGTCGGCTCCCGCTCTGTGGCCATTCTCACCTCTGCCCCTAGAAACCCTGCGCCTTCTGTCCGTCCTCCACTAGCCACATTTCCTCCACTTTACAAATGGACGAGAACAACGGCCTGAGCTCACCCTGTCTGACTGCTGCCCCTTGATGAAGAAGCACAGATAGGAAGGTGAACCAGGGAGCCCCTCATCACCGCTGTGGTCTGGAGGGCCACAGAAATGAACCCTGGCAAAGGCAGTTCCCTTCCCCTGTCCTAGACAGGAAAACAGCCTGCCCCAGAACCCCCCCGTCGGTCACGTCACAAGGAAAGCAAAGCCCTACTAGGTTAGAATTACAACCTCCGGGGCAAGCGAGGGTGGGCCACGCTTGGCCCCACACCCGGGTTTCTGTCTCCCTTTCCTCGGCGGTTCCTCCACTGAGCTACTCTGAAAACTTTCCTTTGTAGTTTGGCAAAGACAAGGCAGGAGAGCCTGGATCGCCACACGGGAGCTTCTCTCTCTCCAGTCCAGCTAGCTTCTCCTACGCCCCTCTGACCCACCTTGGAAGAAGTACATCGTAACGGGAAAGCCTCAACCGGAGTCCCCTGGTCCCCATCTTCCTGACTCTGGAGTTGCAGCACATCCTCTCATGGGGGCAAATCCCTCCCTTCTAACAATCTCCTAACGCTGGGGGCGCCTGGGTGGCTCAGTCGGTTAAGCCTCTGACTCCGGCTCAAGCCACGATCTCATAGTTTGTGGGTTCGAGCCCCACGTCGGGCTCTGTGCTGACAGCTCAGAATCTGGAACCTGCTTCGGATTCTGTGTCTCCCTCTCTCTCTCTGCCCCTCCCCTGCGTGTGCTCTCTCTCACACACAAAAATAAGTAAATGTTAAAAAAAATTTTTTTTAAATCTCCTAGCACTGGGGGCTGGTAGGTTTCCCCTCGTGGCCTCTCTCCGGGACAGGGTGGGGAGCTCCCCTCTACACTGTGTCTTATGCACACTCCCTCCCATTCCTGCCTTTGCCGCCCCCCCCCCCCCCCCGGGAGTGTCGGCAGCTGTTTTAGTTCTTCACAACGTCCTGTCTCCCCAACCCAGGCCAACCTGCCCTCTCCCAAGAGCCCCAAGCCTTGCGGGGCCCTCTCCTTGTCCCCTGGTCTCTGCCTCCCGGGGAACACAGTGTCAGTGTTTGCACTGTCCTTGGGAACCCCTTCCCCACTCCTGCCTGCCGGTCCCAAAGAAGATGGCAAAAGTCAGGCCAAAAAAAAAAAAAACAAACCAACAACAAAAAAGCAGGTTGCTCACCTTAAGCTGTTGAGGCTTAAGCTACTGCTGTTGTAGGCGGACAATGGCTGGGTGAGGCTCTGGGATGAGGGACGGGCCTGCACAGGCGGGAGACTCTGGTGGAGCAGCTGGGTGGGGGACTGCGGCCTCGGCGGCCTCTGCACCGGAGGCTGAGGGGCGGGCTGAAGCTGGGCCTCTGGGGGCGCCTGTGGTGGCTGTGTGCTTGGACGTGGGGGCTGAGGCGGGGCCTCTGTGCGCCGCACCAGGTCGGGGTCTGGAGAAGGAGCTCGGGGCTGGGGTTCCGCCTGGGGCTGGGGCAGCGGCTGGGGGACCTGAGGGCAGGGGTCTTTAAGCACCACGGGCTCAAAGATGGGCTCTTTCAAACAGTCCTGGCTCTTCTCCTGGCTTCTCTCTAGACCGGATATCTTGGGGACAATCGGCCCTGCATCCTGGCTGTCATGTTCGGGCAGTGTGCCGACACCTAACTCCGGATCTGTGCGGGGTGGGGGGGAGAGCAAAGACAAAAACCACAGGTAATGACACGTGAGTGTGAAACGAGGAGCTGAGAGCCAAGTCCAAGCCCGGATTCCGGGTCGCACGGTCTCAATGACGCGGGGTGGCCCAGGGCCGCCTTCTGGCTTCCTGTCCTCGCGTTACCACGTGCGGGACACGAGCACACTGTGAACGGGGAAGGACGGGCCGGCCAGAGGAGGCTGCATTCCAGAAAGCAGCCTAGGCCACCAGGGTCTGAAAGTGCATGTCTTCCTTAGTCTTGACAAAACCTTTCATGCAGTAAAATTAAGAAACAATAGCCGGCAAGTTGATCTCTCCCTTTTAAAACCCATACAGTTCTTGAATATACAAAAGAGCGGTGTTTTCAAACAGCAAGTGAAGCAAATGCTATTGAACCACCCACAGATGTTCCTTCTTGGCCTTGCGTCGTCCCCCTTCCCATTCTGACTGATGAGACACACTTGACATTTACAGAAATAATTTTTTGTTTGGCAAGTGCTAAACTGTGGTCAAACGGCGGGCCTCCTCGTGCTCGCCAAGTGATCCTAGCAACGTCTGAGATCCAAGGTGCAAACACGAATTCAAGTCAATTTACAGTCAGCTATACAAAGCCAGACCTTTTAAAGGGTCCCCCACGCCCCCGGCCAGCGGAAGGGTGCAGTGCTGAATGAGGAGGCAAAATTCCTGTTAGGAATTTAAAAGATGGGCTCCTCTCCAAAGCCCCAAACATCTACGCCACATCTCACAGAGTGTTTATTTGATCACCGCATAAGCCAAACTCCATAAAATCCTCTAACAGAAGAATACAAGACAAATACATGAAATAGAAAGAAATGTCCCTATTGATGAGTTATGCTTTTGTATACATCGGGGAGGGGGGGGGCAGGGAATGACCCTTCTCACTACTTTGTGCTAAAAAAGCCATCCTTTTATTATCACACAGCTCAGAAATAGGGAGAGAACCGATTACGATACTCTCTGAAATGAAGATGTGCTCCAGGCATTCCAAACTAAACTACTTTGGGCCCCCAGCTTTCCCTTCCAATCTCACTGGATCGAGTGTGGAAAGTACATGGTATTCTCAATGGTCCTATCAATTTCTGTGGATGTCCTCTTAGGTACACACACTTGCCATCTTTCTCCCCTGGAATTTGCATCAAAGTGACCCATTATTTTAAACGTCCTTTGGGTAAAAAAAAAAAAAAAAAAAAAGAGACCAAGCCTATAACATGCTCAAAAGCAGAAGCAAACTGGGTTTATAAACAAGGCACATTTTGGGGCTAATGTGACCCTGGCTATCTTTACAACTGCACGGGCAGCATGCAAAGAAAGTCCCCTCTTGGCACGTTTCAGCCACCAAAGGATAAAGCATCCGATAAGACCTCGGTGAAAAGTAATTCTAGACTCCTGGCATCCCACTCACACATATTTCCATCCAGTGCTGTCCTTCAGAGCCTTTCTGGGAAGATTTTTGCTAACGATAAGCTGAAATTTTATGAATTCCACAAACTTGAGGGCTGAGACAGAACATCAAGATTCTTTTTTTTTTTTTTTTAATTTTTTAAGTGTTTTTATTTATTTCTGAGACAGAGAGAGACAGAGCATGAGCAGGGGAGGGACAGAGAGAGAGAGGGAGACACAGAATCGGAAGCAGGCTCCAGGCTCTGAGCCGTCAGCACAGAGCCCAAGGCGGGGCTCAAAATCACGAACCGTGAGATCATGACCTGAGCTGAAGTCGGACGCCCGACCGACTGAGCCACCCAGGCGCCCCATCAAGATTCTTGATGTGGACAGGCCCCGTGCAGCCCGAACTCCTAAATAAGGAGAGAAGATCCTTTATCTCCAGACATTCACACCTAGGGGCTCTGGTTGGGCTTTGCTTTCAATGTTTTTTCTATCATTTCCACAGCAAGAAATTACACGAGCTCACTGAAATACACCGGCTTCCTACAACGCAAGCTGGTTAGTTAGGTCCACGGCACAAGCACTACCACCCCAGACATCCTAACAGGACGCGGTCTAAGAGATTTTCCTCAGTGAGAAGTTCTGGATGCATAAGCAAGGGTTCTTCCCACTCTGACACTCCGACGGCTAATTAGGATCATTATGCTTGCTATAACGGCAGGAACACATTTCTCTCCTTTTGAAGTGCTTTGTTCTCTCCAGGCTGGGAAGGTGAAGGAGAAATCCATAAATATTTTCCATCTCATTAAATTTAAATTCAAATTCATGTTCCCCCGCCCCAAATCAGTGTCCAAACGAAGTTTCTCTCTGACATAAAAGAAAAGTGTCATTTTTCCAAGGGACACCACCCAGAGAACATCGTTTCGATTTTCCTTATGCCGGTAAGGAAGCACATTAGAAACACATAGATAAGTGCTTCGTCTATGTAGCTTGACTATATTTATCTCCTCGTTCTTTATTTAATGAGCCTCTAGAATGAGGACAACACAGCCAAGTTGGCAGGGGGCGTGGCGCAGCCTTGGGCTTGCTTCCCAAGGCTCTGTAAAGACAAAGGGGGTTGGCTTTCGTGTCTCCTCTGTTGCCCCCTTGTCACTGTCGGTTAGTACCAACCTAGACACAGCTAGAGTTAGGGGGGCGGGGAGCAGACTGGATCGCCATCCCGGACAACCAGAGGGGGGTGCACAGGAATGCCAAAATCTCCCTAGTGAGCCCTGCAAATTCCTATGGGGCTATGATGAATGACTCCGGGAACCCAGAAGCCCAGAATTTCGGTGTGAGACCAGAATCTGGGAAAACCATGCACTTGAAGGTGCATACAAATGACCTGCACACCTGCTTAAAATGCCAATTTGGACTCAGGAATTCTGGGATGGGGCTCCAGAGTCTCCCTTTCTATTTCCCAGGTGATACTACTGAGCCTTGGCTCTTTCTGTGAGTAGCAAGGATCTCATTATCCAATCCTCTCTGATTAGACGGCGAATGAGCCCCGAGAAGTTGGGGAACGCACTTGATGGAGGTCACCTGGCTGTTTAATGAATCAGAGGGCTTTTGTTCTAGTCCTAACTCTTGCCACCATTAATTGCTTTTTCTCTGATTTACACATTGCTGCCCCCTTCGAAACAAAAATCCTGAACAAAGCAGGTAATGGTAAAATCCAAGAGTCCATTACAATATTTGGTACAGAGAGACAGTGCGAAGGGGTAGGAAAGCTACAAAGAGTTGCTAGAACACTTGGACTTCAGCTAAACCTGGAAGCGATCATCAGTCTGCCGATGCCCTACTCCTGCAACCCAGAAGCAAGGGTGGCAGGTTAGAAGGCTGGTAAGAACTGTAAGAACTCGGGGGCTGAGACAGTTTTACGACTCCCCATTTACATGAGTCTCTTGAGGCACAGATTAGGCGTCATGCATTTTTGTGGCTAATCGGTAATGCATTTCCTCCTCCTTTCAATTATTCAATAAATGTATCTTCCCAGTTAAGCTTTTCCATCTTGACAGTCAATTTGTCTTACTGTGCTTCTCCAAAATTGGCATGAACACATTAAAAAAAAAATCATTTTGTATTGCTCTGTGTGCTCGGAGTTTGCCAAAGGATGAAATTTGCTGAGGGTGAAAGAAATAAGAATGTGCAAATGGACCAGTCTTATTTACAAGTGTTACTCAGTACATTTTGGGGTTTTAGAATCGCCCTTCTTGTGATTATAAAAATAACATATCATGCTTATAATAAAATACATGCAAATTAAAATGACACTGCACAGTATACGGTAAAAAGGGTGAATTTACTACATGTAAACTATATCTCAATAAACTCGACTCAGGGGTGCCTGGGTGGCTCAGTCAGGTAAGCGTCCGACTCTTGATTTCTGGCCCAGGTCATAATCTCGTGGTTTTGTGAGTTCGAGCCCCACGTTCGGCTCCATGCTGAGAGTGAGGCTGCTTGAGATTCTCCCTCTCTCTCTGCCCCTCCCCTGCTCACACCCCTCTTTCTCAAAAATACATAATAAATAAGAAACTTTAAAAAATGTTAAAAGAAAATAACCTTGACTCAAACACGATACATTTTTTTTTTTTTTTTTAAAGATAAGGGCAGATTAGGAAAACTCCTGTTTCCTTTCGATACACATCTGATACAAGTTCCTTGGGGAAAATGGGTACGCGATTGTACTTTACTAGTAGAATAGAAAGCCCACAACTTCAGTGGAGGGTAATTTGGCAACACTTGGCCAAGAAACTCATGGAATTCTTTTGACTGGAGCCCTATAGACACAATGAAACAACATCATGGTTTGAATCGCAAATTTGGAAAGAAAGAGGAACTTGGACATTGGTTACGTACAAATCTGGTACCATGTGATCATGTTACCTATTAAAAAAAAACAATTTTTTTTTTAAAGTAGGCTCCACACCCCAACCCAGCACAGAGCCCAACGTGGGTGGGGTTTGAACTCAAGACCCCGAGATCAACATCTGAGCCAGATCAAGAGCCGGACACCTAACCAACTGAGCCACCCAGGTGCCCCTTACCTATTAAAAATTTAAAAAGAAAACTGGTCATGCATTAAAAAAGTCTGAGCATGGAAAAAAAAAAAACACATAGCAAACAAAACTGAGAATGTGAATAGCGGTATGACCACAAACATGGAGAGTATATTTTCTATAAGATAAGAAAATATAATGCATGAGTTTATAATAAATTTGAAAATAAGTGGATTTTATGAAAAGATCTCAACTACTAAAACTGACTCAAAAACAAATAAATCTGATCATAAAAGTAAACTGGAAGATGACTCAATGGTCAGCACCTTCCCTTCAACCCAGAAATATGTACCAGGTATATTTGGTGTTATAGACAATGTGGACTATACCTGTAAGAAACACAATATTCTTGTCATTGAAATTAAAAACTAACAGGGGTGCCTGGGTGGCTCAGTCGGTTAAGCATCCGACTTCAGCTCAGGTCATGATCTCACAGTCCACGAGCTCGAGCCCCATTTGAGCCTCGTGTCATGGGCTGTCAGCACAGAGCCTGGAGCCTGTTTCCGATTCTGTGTCTCCCTCTCTCTCTCTGCCCTCCTACGCTGGCACTGTCTCTCTCTCAAAAATAAATAAACATTAAATTTTTTTTAAAAATTGAAAACCAACAGCAATACAAAAAAAAGGAAGAGGCAAAAAC